GTCAATTTGGCTTTTGTAACTTATACATCCTTCCCAAAGCTCTCATGTTTTGTTTTTCAGCTCCATCAATTCATTGATATTCCTCTCTAAGTTGTCTATTCTCGTTAGCCTTTCATCAATTTTTTTTTCAAGGTTCTTAGTTTCCTTGCATTGGGTTACAGCATGTTCTTTTAGCTCACAGAATTTTCTAATTACTCACCTTCTGAAGCCTGATTCTGTCAATTCATCACACTCATTCTCCATCCAGCCTTGTTCCCTTGCTGGTAAGGAGCTGTGATTCCTTGTAGGAGGAGAGGAATTCTGGTTTCGGATGTTTTCATCCTTTTTGCTCTGGTTTCTTCCCATCTTTGTGGATTTATCCACCTGTCATCTTTGCAATTTTTGACTTTCAGATTGGGTCTCTGAGTGGACGTCCAGTTTTTTGATGATAAAGTCATTTTTTTCAGTTTCTTAGTTTTTTTTTGTAACAGTCTGGACCCTCTGCTGTAGGACTGCTGAGGTCCACTCCAGGCCCTGCTTGCCTGGGGATCACCTGCAGCAGCTGCAGGACAGTAAGGGTTGCTGCCAGTTTCTTCTGCTATCTTTGTCCCAGATCGATACCTGCCAAATGTCAGTCTGGGCTCTCTTTTATGAGGTGATTCTTTGGATATACGCTGGTCAGGGAGCTGCTTGAGGAGACAGTCTGTCCTTTATAGGAGCTCAAATGCTAAGCCGTGAGCTCTGTTGTTCATTTAGAGCTGATGGGCAGATATGTTTAAATCTGCTATAGCAGAACTCATAAACCCCTCCTTTTTTTCCCCAGGCGCTCTTTCCCAAGGAGTTAGGGCTTTATTTGATTTTCCGTTGTGCTGCAGCCCTTTTTTCAGGGCTGCCCTGCCCAGGGAGGAGGCAGCCTAGTCACTGTCTGCCGGCAGCGGCTTTGCTGAGCTGCTGTAGGCTCCGCCCTGGTGCTGTGTGAACTTCCCTGCAGTCCTGTTTATACGGGTGTAGCTAGAACTGCCTCAGCAATAGTGGCCTGCCTCTGTAATGACAGACTCTCTCTGTAATCGCGGGTTGCCTCAGCAATGGCAGGCTGCCTCAGCAATAGTGGACTACCTCCATAGTGGTGGAGTGCCTCGGTAATGGCAGATGCCCCTCCCCCACAGGGCTAGACCTTCCAATGTTCAGCTTGCTTGCTGTGAAACTCTCAACCCAGAGCGTTTCCAATTGCTGTTTGTGTGTGTTGGGGGGGACCAGCCAAGCCTTATCACCTGACTCCCTGACTCAGAGCCTTTTTTTTTAGCTGAACCATTGGTTCTCTTCCAGGTGTTCCAGTTGCCCATTGAAAACACACCAGGATCTGTGTGATTTCCCATGTGGCAACCCACTGTGCCAGCTGAAAGAGTGGTGCTGAGATTCACGGTGTTTTTTTGCCCGGGAATCTTCTGGCCTGGCTCCCTGTTTAAGTCCTGTTTTTAATCAAATGAATGGGCGACTCTGCCTTGCTGGAGCTCCAATCGCCAGCTAAAACAGTGCCCAGACCCGTGTATTTTGTACGGAGAACCGCTGCCCCGGTGCACTGGCAAAGCAGCTGCCTGGCCAAACCAGCCATGCTGGTGACCCGTGGGACTCCTCTGCCTCGGAAACTCCTGGTCTGTGGGCAATAAAAATCTGTCTGGAAATGTGGTGTCCACTCACCTTCTGTGCTTTCACTGGGAGCTGCAATCCTGAGCTGCTCCTAATCAGCCATCTTGGATCACTATCCTCATTCATGTTCTTAAGTGTAACTATAGTTCTTTCATTTCCTTGTTGCATACCATTCCACTGTAGTCACATATTACAGTTTATCCACTCTACTGTTGATTGACATAATAATTGTTTTATTCTTCTTTTTTTGAATAATTATGGCTGTGACAAGTAATGCTGCTTTCAGTATTTTTCTCAATTGTTTTGGAATAATAATGGCACTCATTTCTGTGAAGGAGATTGTTAAAGGAAACATATCTTTTATTGTCATGAATAGTGCCAAATAGCTTTCTAATTCATGCTCCTATAGCAGCATATGTGAGTAGACATTTCTCCAAATCCTTGTGAACTCTTAGTATCTCTCCCTAAAAATTCCATCACTGTGGTTAGTCTTTCATTTGTATAGCATCTTACTTAAAATTTTTAGCCAAAAATTTTGTTTTAATCTAATGATGCAGGCCAGTAGGTTTTTGTACACCTGTCTCACCACAGACATGTAAGTAATCATTGACCAAGGCGTCATTATGCCACATATGACTGTACTCAATAAGCAGCTGCTTAAGTTATTAAAATGAAAAGGATAACTGACATAAATTTGAGTCTTGGATACTGTATGGTCATTTCTCTATGTTGCCTTCTTGAAGCATCACAATCACTTTGAGGCATAATTAGTTTGGTTCTATTCATTATACAGTTGAGGAATGTGAGTCTCAATTAAGTAAATTATTCATGAGACACACCAAGAGCTGGACCTCTGACACCAAAAGCTAATCTATAAACTAACATGCTACACTGTCTGTAGTGGCAAAGTAGACTTGCTGTAAAATGAAGTTTGCTTCAACAGCTGGGCATGTGAGCTTCATGGGGTTGGTGTTACCCATTGCTTTATGGGTTTGAAATTCATCTTGCAGAAACTCAGATGGAGAAGCTCTTGGTTGAAGGAGTGAAAAACTACTGAAAGGTTAGATGAGTGCATTTGAAAGATTATGCGTCCATAGAGCATGTTGTTGAGCCTCTTGGAATAAGAACAGATACAAGCAGAATCACCCAGTCCTCAGTTGTACCATTCAGTAAGCATCAGCATGCCATGAAGTGTGCTCATTGCTGTGTTGCAGAGATACAAAATCTATCCCAGGCCTCTGTGGGTGCCCATTCTGTCCTGTCCAATGAATCTCTGTTCTGTTCCATTGGTCTACATCTCTGTTTCGGTACCAGTACCATGCTGTTTTGATTACTTTAGCAGTTGACTAAATTTCTGACCAGGTTTTCAATATTCATTGAGAGAAAGAGAACCTTGTGCAAACAGTCTTCAACATGATGTATCCCTTATAAAGCTTTGTTTCTGTGTTGCAGGTAGTGCTGGTGTTCCCTCTGAAGTGTGACCCTGGTAAGTATTCTGGAATTATTGTCGTGAAAAAAATCTGGATGCCAAGAACGGTGTAGCAACCTTGCTGGTTTCAATGTAAAGAGCCACCTTGATTCTGGGATTGTGATAGGAGCAAGAATAGTGAAAATGTTTTTTAAAAACCTGAATTCCCCAGGAAAAAATCATGGCCAAATTTTTAGGCAGCAGCTGTGCTCCCTTTTGGGTGGTACTGATTTGTGTGCTTCCGGATTGGTGGTGTCTTGTGTGAGGCTGCATCACGTGATGTGAATGTGTGTGTTTCTGTGAACATGAGGCTGTGTGTTTTCCCAGGAGAGATTTCCCATTTACACAGCCCAATTGCCAGTGTCCACTTCTAAAATCTAAAATCCACACCCATTCTACTCTCTCTTTACAGTGACTCCTCCACCCTCACCAGAGTCATACCTGGGTCTGGCTTATTTTCCTCACTGCTCAGGTGGAGAACATGAAGGGCCAAGGGGTTGCCCCAGCTCCCGAGCTTCTAAATGAAAAAGTAAAAACATGAACCCAGGAGTGTGGGCCAGTGCTGACACTGGCAACTAGTGACATGCACTTAGTCATGGGTTGTTTGCCACCACAAAGGAAGCCCAGCATTTGTGTGTAAGCCCTAAAGCACCGAGCCTAATAGGTCCCAGACACTGTCCATCATTATAAAGTGGACTCTGTCGTCACACAACCCAGGGCAGTTACAGGCACATCCCACAGACAAGCATAGTCATCAGTGTGAAAAGCACAAAGATCCCCAGGTGTTTGGGTCAGCTCACAGATCCTTTTTTAAAAATTTTTTAAGTTCAGGGGTACATGTGCAGGCTGCACAGGTTTGGTACATATGTAAATGTGTGTCATGAGGGTTTGTTGTACAGGTTATTTCATCATCCACATATTAAGCCTAATATCAGTTATTTTTCTGATCCTCCCCCTCCTTCCACCATCCACCCTCCAGTAGGCCCCAAACTCACAACTTCTAAGAGGACTGGAAGCCACTTCAGTTCTGAAGTTAATTTCTCAGCAATTGGCCAAAGCATATAAGGATCAGTGATGTATTTTAGTAGATTTGTAATATTACCTTCCCAAGCTTTAAAATGCTCAAATCCTGCCAGCTGAAAATGGTGAGGAGAGGGACAGGGTAGAAACTCTGTGAAGCACTTGGCTGTTAGCCTGGTTTCCATCCCCTTGTAGCAACTCTCTTGTGTACGGGGGTTAAAGACCCTCAGCCTCAACCCAAGCCTCCTCCATGAGGAGCCCTCTCACTGTTGGCCAGCTAGTGCAGCATATGGCCACCAGCCCAAGTGAAACAAAATGTTGCTTTAAAACAAGTTATGTATTCATGATGTCCACTCATTGTTTTGCAATCTCTGCTCTCTCTCCAGTTATGTCTTCCTATTAATTTCTGATGTTAATTTTTGTGATTTTCCTTTTTTCTTTTTTGTGAGGTGAAGCTTCACTCTTGTTGCCCAGGCTGGAGTGCAATGGTGCGATCTTGGCTCACTGCAACCTCCACCTCCTGGATTCAAGTGATTCGCCTGCCTCGGCTTCCTGAGTAGCTGGGATTACAGGTGTGCACCACCATGTTCAGCTAATTTTGTATTTTTAGTAGAGATAGGGTTTCTCCATGTTGGTCAGGCTGGTATCGAACTTCCGACCTCAGGTGATCCACCCACCTCTGCCTCCCAAAGTGCTGGGATTACAGATGTGAGCCACCATGCCCAGCCCTTTTTTCTTGATAAATCTCACTAATGACTTGTGTATTTCTCAAAAAAAAAACTGTTGGCTTTGTTACTTCTCCCTAATATTGTCCTTATTTTCTATTTCATCAATTTCTCACCTCTTATCCTTCCATTATATTATCTGTGTTTATTCTGATGTTATTTTTTTCTAACTTATGTTGTATGTTTAATTAACTTTCAGTCTTTCTGTGTTTCCAATGTAAATAAGTATTATCTAACTGCATTATGTTTTCTATTGACATTCAAGTTTAGAAGTATGCTCTACATTTTCTAATGTCACAACCAATGGTCTTGTGCATGAGTCTTTTCATATTTTTGCCAGTCTCCTTTAGGAAAGATGCTGAGATGTTGGATTGTAGGCCAAACTGTTACAGCTTTGCAACATTGCTAAATGTTGCTAAGTTTCTCTCCACAGGTGCCGAATGGCAATTTCTTAGCAACAATGTGTGCAGAGTCACACTAACTAGTTACACGTGAAACTTCATCCACAACTGGGGACTTCATCCATGGCTGGGGCATCATCTCTGGCTGGGACATCATCCACAACTTTCTTAAAACAACTCTTTCTATATTGACACAAATAAATAATTAAAACGGGAAAATTATGGTTTAGTTATTTCATAAATTATTAACAAATAACTTTTGAAACAAAAACTGTAAAAGTGGAACTCAAATTACTATGTGTTTAATAATCTAGATCTGTGGCTCAGATACAGATATCTGAGCTTCATCCACAGCTGGGGCATCATCCACAACTGGGGCCATCATCCACGGCTGGGGCATCATCCACAACTGGGGGCTTCATCCACAGCCAGGGGCATCATCTATGTCTGAGGCATCATCCACAACTGGGGGCATCATCCACAGCCAGGGGCATCATCCATGGCTGGGAGCATCATTCATGGCTGGGGGCTTGATCCATGGGTGGGGCATCATCCATGTCTGGTTTGCTGTATCTCTATCTGAGCCACAGATCTAGATTATTAAACACATAGTAATTTGAGTTCCACTTTTACAGTTTTTGTTTCAAAAGTCATTTGTTAATAATTTAATGAAACGACTAAACCATAATTTTCCCGTTTTAATTATTTCTTTGTGTCAATATAGAAAGAGTTGTTTTAAGAAAGCAGATTCCTCTGTCTGTGTTTGTGAACAGGAGCGTTGGGCCTAAAGCCTTTCTCTGGTAACTCTCCAGGAAGATTGTCCCACCTCACGCTTGCTTTCTGTGGGTTCCAGAGGCTTACATTTAAAGGAACATCTCTCCCCACCTGGCCTCACCCCACACCAGCTCTCCTGTAACCCACTGACTTTCTAGATGCCTTCTTCCACCTTCACCTCATTGAATTCAAGACTCTGAAAAATAGTCAAAAATTATAAAAAGGTGGGAGTGGGGGTGATCTGGAAATCCCTGCTATATAACATTTTAAAGGAATCTACTGGAAATTATTTATATTTTAAATAAAGCCATCCCTTAGCACTAGAATATCAAGCCATTCATTTTTGTAACAAAATTTTGAGATATAATTCAAATGTTTTTATGTGAACATATAAGTGTGTGTATGTGTATATACACAACTATATACATATGTGTGTATGTGTATATATACATAGTTGTATATATATGCACATACACATATGTATACAGTTATGTATATAGCTGTATATATATATATGTATACACACACACATACACACACACACACACACACACATATATATATAGTTGTTTTAGGATACAAAAATACTAATCTTGAGAAAAAAGTATTGGTCTGCATAAATATTGAAACTATCTGGCATAGCAAAAGTCCCCTTTAAGAAAATGACTTAGGAAGCACAGAATGACAGAAAATGGTCACAGCATGTACATGTGAAGAATGTGTCACATTGGACCCAGCTGTCAACATTGCCAGTGTTGCTGCTGTCCTCAGTGCAGACAGCTGTGGCACTTGTTCAGAACCTTCAGATGCTGAGGGTGGCTGAGCTGGGCCTGCCTGGGCCACAGACCCTAAATGGGACAGAAAGGAGGGACTGTGGGCCAGAATCAGCATGCTGAGAAGGGTGGGTGTGTAGAACAGAGCCAACCATGGATTCCCTGTCCCCAGGTAAGGTGCCCCCTCCCCTGTGCAGTGAGTGAGGAGGGTAAAGACAGGAGCCCCGGGTATGGTTCAGATGTGACTCTGTTTCCTGACACTCTGCTGTGGAGCCTGAGCTTTCTGAAGCTGCCTTACATCTCCCAAAACCTTCACAGGAGCAGAGCCACTGCATTTAAATAAGAACTGCTACCTGTGTGTTCCTGGGCCCCTCTACCCTGAGTTCTCACAGCTGACCCAGTGGGGTGAAGGTGTGTCCTAGCAGGTAAGTTTTGCCACCCAAACCTACTCAGTGGGCTCCCTGATGGCCAAACTCCCATGGAGGCTCTGAGTCATTTCCCAGCTGAGAGAGGCCATCTCAGGAGTGTCCCTCACTGTCCCACACTGCCCTCACACCCAAAACCTTCCTGCTTCTCTGACACACCAGGGCATCTTAGATGGAGAACATTGGCTGTCCTGATCCTCCTTTCTAAAGCTGCTCACGATGTCAGAGAGAGGCCAGGGCAGCCGGGAATCCTAAGTAAAGGGGGTGTGGGTTTAAGGGAGGTCACTTGTGCCTGCCAGCTGTGCCAGCAGAGTGTGTGTGATACTTTCTATCTGTCGGTGTTTTCTGGGACCCAGAAGCACAGAGTTTACTCACACTATTAACATTCTCACCATCAGCCACCTAAAGGCCTCTCTTTCATATTTTTCTTTATCGCCATTTGAAATCATGTTTTTCCCCATCTCTGAGTCACCAACTCAAGTGTAAATAATGTGGTTCCACTCTGACTTCCAAATCATCTCTAGAGATACTTAAAGAATTCATAATGTGTTTGCATTTTTTAAGTAAATAATTTTTTCTCTTTAGGCCTCATCTGGTTTATTTTTTCTGAGATTTAAACTCAGGCTTAAACATTTAATTTCATCCATGTGTGCATATGAACCATTTCCATTACTTCCAACAGGTCAGCATTGTGTAAACTACACTTTAGTTATCAACCCTTGTGCTGAGAAGCCAGGTTGCTGCCTATACCGCGTTACCAGAGAAGACTTCCCCCTATGCATTTCCCTCCATCTCTGAACCACAGTGGACTAGCTGCATCGAGGGTGCATATTTAATGTGCTGAGGGACATCCTGCCATTGCTAGTATCCCAGTTGTAAGAGATTCCAAAGCTCCACAGCCTGACTGGAAATTTATTTTTTTATTTTTAAAATTGCAACATTAGTTATCTGCTCAACACTCACTGGTTTCATGCCTCACTCAGAAGTAAGTGCACAATTGTAGGGCATCCACAGGAACCTATAGGTTTTGCCTGCCCCTGACCCCAGCTGGCTGATCTCCAAACCCTCTCCCTGGCTTCCTGCTGAGGGGGCTCTGGCAGCTCCTGCCACTCCCATCCTGCTCCCCCCAAGCCCTTTTGCTTTGCTCTCTGTTCTTCCAGGCAGCTCCTCCCACACAGACATGCTGGGCTCCACAGTCATGTGACTTTCATTCATCCACATTTTGTCTTTTCTAGATTGCTTTGTTGTGATATTTGTCCATTTTTAGTGACATTTCCATTTTATCTGTCTTTTCTATTTTTGTTTTCTGAAATCTGGATTGTCCTTGCAAATATCTTTCCATTGTTCCATATCCCTCTGCAGTTTTGCCTGTTGGATCCTTCTTCTAACAAAGCACCTTAAATAGTCATTCAAGAACTCATAAGATTATGTGATTTGTCAAAATCCTAGAAACCTCAGCAAGTTCAGCACATGAAAATGCATTTGATCCCAAGTCATTAGCAGAGTGCATATTGAAACAAGTTTCTCCACTGGAATAGGCACATTATCAAAGAGAAAAATGCAAAGGGTGGTGAGGATGTGGAGAAACTTGAACTTTCATGTTACTCTGGGAACATACTTAGTTTCAACCATTTTGAGAAATAGCTTTCTAGTATGTACTACAGTTATCAGTACCTGTGACCTTACAGTCCCACTCCTGCCATCTATGTCCAAGAGACATGTACGAGCCAAGGATATTGGTGTCCACTTGGGGGACTTCACAGAAGCATTGTTTCAAGCAACCATCATGAAAAACATCAGAGTGAATGTAGAAAACACGGAGGGTGTAAACTAATTGTGCCAACATTCTACAATGTTATATACTGACCCAGCAGTACAACATGACAAATGTTTCATCACAACGGAAAATGGGTGAAAATCACATATTCACATATAATTTTCAACCAAAAACAAAAGAGTACATACTGTAGGTTTGCATTTATATGATGTTTAAAAATAAATTTAAAATATGTTGGTCATGATCAGAGTAGGCATCTCCTGGGGTTTCTGCCTGGAAATTAGCTGAAGAGGAACAGTCAGGGGATTTACATCTGAGTGGTGGTTAACACAGCATTTGTAAGAAGGCAACAGTCTGCACATGTAATATATGTGCACTGTGCCACAGCTAAAACAACCATCACATAAAAACTAATGCAAATAATATCTTTCCATCATGCAAACCCCATCCTTATTGTCTCCCTGTGAGTCTATCTCATATTTTAAATAGAAGTAACTTCAATTTTATATGTACAAGAATACACTCATACTGCTCTCTTTTAACTGGGAAACTCATGATAGCAAATCCTGTAAAAGACATGACAGGACAGGTGAATTAAAAGTCAAAATCTTTTGAATACTGTTGCCAAAATCCAACACAATACATTAGGAATCTTGACTCTGAGGTTTGTTTTTTTAATTTTACTTTAAGTTTGGGATACATGTGCAGGTTAGTTACACAGGTATACATGTGCCATGGTGGTTTGCTGCACCTATCAACCTGTCATCTAGGTTTTAAGCCTCACATGCTTTATTTGTCCTAATGCTCTCCTTCCCCTTGTCCCCTACCCCTGACATGCCCCAGTGTGTGATGTTCCCCTCCCTGTGTCCATATTTTCTTATTGTTCAACTCCCACTTATGAGTGAAAACATGTGGTGTTTGGTTTTCGGTTCCTGTGTTAGTTTGCTGAGGATGATGGCTTCCAGCTTTATCTATGTCCCTGCAAAGAACATGAAATCACTCATTTTTATGGCTGCACAGTATTCCATGGTGTATATGTGCCACATTTTGGTTTTATAAAGGAAAGACTGGGGTTTTGATGTGGATATAAATGCGGTGGGATGAGGACAGGATCCCTACTGTTTAGGGTGTTGCTGGGGCACATGGTGAGAAGAGACAGAGCCATCAGGTTAGAGGAATGGACATTTGGTGACAAAGGGAAGAAGAGCCTGGGTGGTCCCCAGGGACAGTCCTGGGGTGGGGTCTCCAGGGTGTATCTGTGGAGGGGTCCCTCCAAGAGGATAAGGGACTCTGTGCATTTTCCTCGCAGTGCTCAGGATAAAATAGGAGTCTGAAGATGCTGACCTTCGGTTTGGAAGAAATGAACAGGAAGAAAGGTCCACTCTGTGCTCGTGCAGCCACTGCCCATCCTCAGCCAGGCCTTAATCCAGCTGTACAGACAGTGGCTCAGATCAATATTGTCAGGTGGGAAGCTTTATAAACTGAATTCATCAAGCCACGGACACTCCAGCCCAGGTGCCCTTATCAGTTAAAGGGCATTAACTGCTCACCCAGATTTAGTCAAGTGGAGGGAAGGTAAGCAGTCATGAGACAGTTTAGAATATTGCTTTATAATACAGTTGGGTATTAGAAAGTCTAATACAGTTAGGTGTCAGTTGGCTGAGGGGTCCCTTGTAGCCAACTGCTCAGTGGAAATGTGTACCACATGGTAATATACATAACATGTGATACATACTGTTTCCTGGCAAGACAGTGTCAGTCACTAATGGCAGCCTCAGCTTATAAACAAACTGGGAGAGGGCCTGCCCTCAGCACCTGTACTTCCTTCTTCTGGGACTAAGAATTTTCCAATTGCCAGCCAAAATAGACTTGGAAGACCCACCCTCCAGGGAAAGCTCCTGCATGTCCTATGGGTGTCCTCACACTCACTGCAGGTCTTTGACTGAACTACAGTTTCCCCTCTGTTTTTCTAAAGCAACCTGTTCTGTAATTATGATACAGAAGTGCTGGGAAGGGAAGAGTGTGGTCACTTTAAATGATACAAAACAGGGGAAGGGAAGGGAAGGGCT